GAGGGAGGAGCAGGGTGTACTTGACAGAATTGTATTGACAAAAACCAGAGAAAACTAAATCCAAAACAAATAAAGTCCAAAGTATCAAACAAAAACCATGGCAGAAGCTCAAAATTAATATTAACAGAAACTTGATCTAAACATCACAGAACAAACAAACATGACAGCAGCAAAGAAACAATCAATGACCCGACAATGAGTGGTCAGGAGGGAGTCCTTTTATACTACTAATAACATAACGACCAACAGGTGTGCAGCTGCAGGGGAGCCCTACAGTGCCACCTGTTGGTCACAAACAGAAACATGACACTAACAAGGTTAAGAACCACTGTTCTAGCCATTTTGAAATTAAAGTTCATGGCTCTTTGGTCTTATTCATTCTAATAGAAGAATCTTCCCAAAAGACATCTTGGCCTGTTTAGATGGCATTTGTTTAACTGCCCTATATCTGTTTGTATCAGCAGATTTCCACTTAATTCAATAAACAAGTTCTCTATTGATTTAAACATGTCGGGGAAGCTATACCCTCTAATAAATTAAGATCTGTAGTGATTTGTTTTCTTTCGTTCTTTATACCTGCGATACCTAGACAATTGCAAATGTGTGCAAATTAGGGCATTTTAATTCATTAGCACACAACGTACATACCAGTGAGGTTTTCAGACAATACATCATGTAGTGCGTCAGTACGACTGAAGGCCCATGATGAAGAGCCTAAGCTAACCCAAACACATTAGCCAGTCATTTATACGTGTACATGAGCAAGACACACCTTAATTATGTTTAGTCTTGTCATTTGTGACTCAAAAACGTCTTACTTCACCACTCACTGCCAAAATTAAAAACACCAGAGACAAAATCAAAACAGTGCTGAGAATGGCTGGGCTTTGCTGCTTGCCCGCCTCTGCCTCTGCAGAGGCGGGCAAGCAGCACAGGAATAAATATAAGAGAGAGGAATTCATTAAAAAAAAAAAAAAAAAAAAACTCTTTCGTCAGATAACAAAAGGGCAGGGGCTCAAGATCCCATTGGATGTCTACATGTTTGCATGTGCCTGCCCAGGACACACAAGCAGAGTAAATAATAACATATTGGTTCAAATATCGCAAATTCATAGCATACCTGTGTGCTCATGAGGCTGCATCATTCATTCAGCACTGTACTGTGTTTTCTCAAGAAAAGCGCATTTGAGATTTTGTTTATGTACTGTGATTTTTGAAGGCAACAAATGACCCATCACTGCATACCCACCCAAACAACATTGACTTTTCAGACACTACTGTGCAAACATTCCCTCATTAGGGCTCCGTACGAGGCCACGCTACTCTACCGAAGCCCCAGGTCCCGCCTCGGGCATCAGGCCCTCTGCCCCGCTAGTGATGATTAAATAATGCAAGTGTTGAAAATGTAGGGCTGCCTAATTCACCAAAGCCCATGGTACAAGCCTAATGGATTTTGCCATCCTTATCTGATGGGCTTGACAGTTGTAGATATTCATTATGGATGGAAAATTGTCGTAGCTTTTATGGCTGGCGATGTAGCCCACTTAACAATGTCGGTCTTTGTTAGCAGACCAACAAGGCAAGATCTAACCATCCCAGAGGTTTGTGTCTCTGAAGTTTTTTCTCGGCAGTGTTCTTCAAGTGTGAACATAGGTTGAGACAAGTAGGCGCTAATGGCCTTATTGTTTCAAGTACATGGCACCCCCGGGAAGTATAAAGTGCTTCTCGGGAAGAGGCGAATAAAGGCAAGAACTGAGCAGACGAGGACCGATGCAGGCTTCGAGCAGCGAGAATTATTTAGATAGATAGATGGATGAAAGAGGGGAACGGGCCGCAGTTTGAATGCGAATGTACTGTCAGTGCGGGGCCTTCTGCGTCACAGGACCAATCCTCAGTTGAGCAGCAAAAGCATCTGCGACGCTCCGACGTATAAAGAGGTTAATGGCGTGATAACGAAAGCACAGAGGCCAATTAGGCCACGGTTATGAACACATTCAGACGGAAATGAGCGCAAGAGTAATTACAGCAATGCAGCATACCTGTTTAATGGGTTGGCAAATGACGTGTCCCAAGTTGGCATGTTAACCTTTGATTGTGCTTTTGCTGTGTCCCCTTTTCTTAACCTCAGATGCTCCCACATTTAAAGCGTAGCAAGGCCCTTTGTTATTGAGTGCGGAGGAAACGGCTGACCCGATATCTGTGACACATGCCACCCACATCGCAGCTGACTTTACGTGCAAATGGCTGGGGAGGTCCGCCTACACGTTCAAAACACTAGCTGTAATTCATTTTGTTATTCATGTTTCTAACTCTAATCTGATCTAGTCTCCGCATTTATCACTGATCTTTCTCAACGAGCAAATGCACTCATATTTTACTGGCTTTAACTATCCCTCAACGCCACCTCTCACGGCACCATACTCAGCCCAAATCCAGAAAAATGGCTTTCATTACCGCCGCGTGACAAAAGGCTACATTTGTCAATGTAGCGAGGGCTCTGCATCTACTGATTGCCTTTTCCAGTCCAAACCTCCCTCACCCACCGGCAGTTTTGAGTTTCCTGTTTCCTACTGGTAAAGTCCCATCCTTTTTTTTTTTTTTTTTTTTTAATCTGTGGCTTTCCCCCCTATGGTCATCCTTCTTAGTCCACTGAGCTTGTTGATGCCTCTGCTATCCCCAGCTCAAATCCCGATGCCCTCCACCACAAATCCTTTGTCTGTAGGAGAAGAGATGTTTTATATCTTGAGAGGGAAATGCCTTCCTCCACTTATTCCTTCTCACTCTGTCTTTTACAGGGAGATGAAAGGATGCAGATGGGACTGGAGGACCCAGGATGATGAATCAGGCGTTCTCACTATCTGTAATGTGACTCGGGCTCAGGTTGGAATTTACCACTGCACAGCCAGTAATGCCGTTGCACCCTCTGGCAGTGACGATGTGCATCTTGTGCAGTGTGAGTGCAGCTCATGTGCCAGTGACTAAATTCGATATGACTGTAAAACATTTCAAGCTTTGTCTACTTGCAAATGTAAGTCCAAAAGCTGCCTTGAAAACAGAAGTTAGCTCAAATAGAGGATAATCTTTGTTTCAACTCAAAAGTTGAGGTTCATCGAGTCAAGATCACTATTATGTTCTAGTAGTCTCGAATATTGTTCTATAAGTTATAAAAAATAAATAATAATTATAATAAAATCACAATAATAATAATAATAATAATCGGAATAAATCAACTTGTCTTTATGATATAATTACAAGCCCTACATCCACACTTCATCCCCACCAACATCAGAGGTGTATAGTTCTGTAGTAAAAAGCCCTATTGTTCTCAACAAACTCCTGCTCCCGTCGTTTTTCTTGTATTTTTTTTTTTCCTATAGCTAACTTACAAAACCAAGTCATGTCAACGTGGACAGAGCTTTGCAAATAATTTCAATTGTCAACCCAATGAATTACTGCAGGTTTAACCTTCAAGAACTAGAACAGCCAAGTTCAATATCCAAAACTAGTTAGAGCTCTTTAGGTTCAAGAAAACTAGCAATTGAACATAACTAAATGCGGCTGTAATGTTGCAGCATGCAGTCTTTTCCAGCACTCTGGAGATTAGAGTCCATCTGTTTGCTGAATTTTGGATTCAGGAGAAACTGCTCTTTTTTCCTGGTCATTAAAATCTGGAGCAGAAGGTGCATGGGAGTCCAACCATTCCATGTGTGCTTTGTGCACTTGGAAATTGCATTTTACTTCTTTATTCTAATGTGTGGACCTGAGGTGATCACTATGGTTCCACTTGCTCAATTCATTCTTTTCAACCCTTAAGGGCTATTGTATTTTTCACTCAAGGTTGGCAACGTCGAATTGATCCAATCAAGTCCTAGTTGGTGGATGTAACAAACCACTTTAGGTTTCTTTAATGCGTAGATGAACATCAGTCTTTGAAGGAGAAACGTTTCCGCATTGCAGATCTTTGAGACCTTAGAGCTGGCCACTACCAAGGATCATTGGATGTACAACTCCTGCTCATACTACTACAAAAACAATGTGCCTCATTTGCTTAGAAAAAAACTAAATAGCAGGCCTATACAGTCCATGTTCCAGGCATGTCCAACCCGGCAGGAAGCCTCAGGGCAGACACACTGCAGGAATGATGCTTGACAGCCTTGTGTGGGTGCACGTTGGTGTCACCCCACCACAGTGGAATTAAAGTTGAAAGCTGGGCAAAAAAAAAAATAATGCACATCCCTTCTTCTTAGACCCATTAGATGATGCAAATGAATGGATGGATGTGCCTTTATTGTATGCTGTGCATCTTTCTAAACGCCATGCCTTCTGGTCGTGCATTCAAACCTACCGGAAGGAACACAGTGAAGCAAGGTTACCAGTCAAGGGGACAGAACCACAAAACAAAATTTACTGGACAATCTTTGAGCTCGCTGCACTGCTCTGCCATTGGTTCAACATCACATGGTTTTATAGACGATACTGGGTTCCCATTGCCTTGAATTTTTGGTCAGTTTTTTTGAACAAGTTGTTTTTTAACAATTTTTGGTAAAATGGTTTGTTGTTGACCGTAGGCTCTTATCCATCCGTTCCGGACAAGGCATGTAAATGTATCGCTTCACCAAAAATCCAGAAAGGCGATGCCTACACACACACACACACACGCACGCACGCACACACACACACACACACACACACACACACACACACACACGCACACACCAAACATGAATGAAATAAAATTTAAGATTATTAATTTCAATAGATGAATAATGTAATAATTTTGTGCCAAAAATAATCTTTTGTGTTGCGGCCTACTGAAGTGTGAAAAGTGAGGTCACCCCTTTGTTTAGATGATGTACCAGGATTTAAATTGAAATGCACTGTGTCGAAAACATTCACCATGGAGAAATTATGGCAGTTTCAATTTAAAACGCTCTATGAAAAAGGAGGTCAGACAACTAGTAAACCAATGATAACGTCAGTCTGAAGTGGAGCTTAATTGCCCTTGCCAACAGGTGATTGTTCGTTTATACAAAATGAACGAGAATCAGATATGTACGTGGGGCGATTGTTGTTGGAGTCTTTCTGTCCCCTAGTGGTCATAAATCATTTCATGCCGTGTTTCAATACAAATGAAATGATCAAATCCAATGGTCAGCGCGTACAAAACATGAAAGGATAATGCATATCACGTAATTGAGAGTGGAGGTTACAATTTTCCTTTGGTTCCCATTCGGCAGAATCACATAAAAAATGTCTGTGCAGCTTTGTACAGCTTTATCAGCCTTTTGCAGCAACATGACAATAGTGACGTAGGGGGCACGAAGGCTACACAAGTATGAAGTGAAGAGAATTGCTACTTCTGAGCTTCAACGCTTTCAGGAACGGATTCCAAGGCTCTATCTCTACCTTATCACTGAGCTCACAGCACTTCTACCCCCCCC